GTACTCAGTTTTGTTTCAGGGATTGAAGGTTTTCTGACTTGCGTGCCAGTGTTGTTGCACTGAGTTTCTACTTTTGGGTTTTCAATATAGTCTTTGTGAAGAATTATTTGTTTTTGATTGTTCATAAGAGGAAACACTCTATTTTCCTACTTTAAAATAATGTAGCTATTGAGTGCTTACACATTTTTAAATGATTTGAGATTTAAATTATATTTTACAGGTGTGTACTCACTTCTCTTGTATGCTGTATTTTTAATAGAGGTCCTGATTTGGCTCACTGACCTGTGTTTTTCCCCCACTGCTGTAGCCTATTACTCCAGGCTGTACTTCATCCAGTCCGCCAGGGGGCGCTGTGATTATGTCATTAGTAGTTATTGACCAATCAGCGGTGTTTAGCGGTTTGAACAAGAAGCGGGTCCTGCGGCGGATTTTTTTTAGATTCATAACAGAAAACAATACACGAGAAATTAAGCAGATACAGAAAAAACTATCAGTCATGGCGAAGGGTTAAAACAGCTGTTCAAGTCGAGTTTAAACGAGTGTCGTGAGTTTCTGTTCATAAACCTTAAGAAATGTGTAATAGTTTGTTTTGTTTTCAGAGTTAGCCGAGGTTGAGCTATCCGGCTAAACTTCACTGTACTCGTTCGCAACGACAGATACTTTTGAACTGTACTCCGTCCGTTTTAATTAAGTTTTGACTTATTAGCACTGTCTTAGTTGCAGTTTTAAACATGAAGCCATCAAAGCCGTTAATTTTGAAGACATACGGTAAACAGAGGAGGAAAGTGTCCGCCTGGATTTCACCCGATGACCGCAAGCAGGCCTTCGACAGCACTCTGTCAACAGATGACTCCGTGTTTGAAGACCGAAAATCTAAGAGGACACGGTTTGTTCTGTCCCATCATTCTGCCTGTCATCTTTACGATTCATTCAGCTGTCTTGCTGTTCATTTCTCCCTTCTGTTATGCATGTCCTATGTTGTTTTTTCACAAGGCTTCACAATTGCTTGGGTTATAGGGGAATTACACAGAGCAAAATCTGGCAAAGGTATAAAGTACACCATATAAAGTAGCATGAATTTGATTATTGAGAGTTTGCTTTTAGAAACGCAGGAGAAGTATGCCAGGATATTTATAATACATAAAAAGGAACATGTTTTCATAGGAGTGTCAGCTGCTAAATTCAGGGATTAGTATTCTTGTACTTTCCTCAAGTTAGAGCCTGACTAATATATCAGCTACAGCTTCAGAGATTAATCGATTAGCTCTCATCTTGGGCTTTGGAAAACACTGAGCAACATTTTTTCACAATTTTCTGGTATTTTACAGACCAAATAACAAGTTTAATAATCAAGAAAAGTATAGATAGCTTAATCCATAATGATAATAAACATTGGTAGCAGTGTTAATACCAGCATAACAACTGTACATTTTAGGTTTAGGCCTATCATAATATGTTTGTATTGATGTATTTGGCAACCAGTGAGCCACACAAAACTGCCGTACAGAACTGTTTTATAAAAGAAGCTACTTAGAAACCCTATGCTACAGATTCTTGACAAGTTTGTCTCTCAACTGTGAAATGCCTGTCTCAGTCTTTGTCATGATTATGGATCTTCTCCAACGAAATGGTAGGTAGCCAAACAGACAGGCTGACTGTCCTCTTCCATCTCTGGAGGAGATTTACAGTACCCGATGCCTCAGGAGAGCCCGCAGCATTATCAGGGATCCCTCATACCCTGGCAACCACCTCTTAACTCCTACCCTCAGGGAGACATTTAAGGGCAATAAAGACAAGGACAAACAGACTAAAGAACACTTTTTATCCAAGAGCTGTCGTTGCCCTGAACGCTGCAAATTCTCAACCCTCATTCTTCACTGTTCAATAGAAAATCTCTGTTCATACACCAAATGCAATACCCCTAGTGCAATATCAATACATATCATGTGCAATTTTTTCTATTCTTCATCCCTTTAGTCGTGTAAATACCCCAGCATAGCATATCTTTATAGCTTGTTAAGTTTTCATCTGTCTTTCATTTCACAGAGAGAAGCGCACGAAGGCTGGTGGTCCTCGAGCAGTACGTCTTGCCAAGAAAAAAGCCATGCAGTGTCTGACTGAAAAGAGTTCTAATGAGGAGATCATCATCGCTGACTCTCCACCTCCTCCTCCGCTTGCTCAGCAGAATAAGGCAACCAGGTCTGTGAATTAACATACAGCTGTAAATTCTCAGTGATGTTTTTATTTCTGTATTACACATTTTGTAATAACTAAATCATTAATAAAATGATTAGTTGTTTTTTATTAAACTGAAAGATTGTGTAGTATTTTGTTAATCCCTGGATAGGTGAGGTATCTGTGAGGGTCATTGCGTAGTCTTTGGATAATTTCTTATTGTAGTTTCATATTTGCCCATGCTTCTTATCTTTTTTGCCCCTCCTTAGAGAGAGAAGGAAGACAAGTGTTGCCAGTAAAAGAGTGGTCCGTCCTGCAAGAGGAAAGGCCAAGCTAGCAGAGAGCAGCAGTGATGAGGAGAACATCAGTAGGCCCTCTCCTCCTGCTCCTCAGCTCACACAGCAGAGCAAGACAACCAGGTCTGTGCATAAACAGGCATAACCAGAACATTATTTAAATGCAAAGTCAGCATGTGTTGAGGTTTATGGTTCTGCTTTTTATGTTTCCCCAAGAGTGTCTGCAAGCAGCCATTTGACATTACTGGTAATCAAAGGCCTTAAACTTCGATGGTGGAGGCCCACATGGACAACCGTGGACACCTGCTTCTTGCTATGATACTAGTTTCTTTTCCGCTTGGAGGATGCGTCCCATAATTGTGCAATAGATTGATGTCTTCCTATTTTGTTCTTGCACAGTACTGTCCTTGTAACGTAGTTGCTGTCTGGACATAAACTTGGCTGCACGTGAACCACCAACCCACAGAAAGTCCTTGTTAGTATAGTGGACAGTATCTCCGCCTGTCACGCAGTAAACCGGGTTTTGATTCCCCGATGGGCAGTGTTTACTTTTAACCAAACCCCCCCCTGCAGAATCAATAAAGTATTTCTAATTTTGGCTTTGTTAACACTCTGAGAAAGTGTTAGATACTTGCAGAAGTAGGTTTTGTGTCTGTTAATGTATTTCTGAAATCATCTTTGTCTCTGCATGTCAACAGGAAAAGCCGGCTTGTGTCTAAACCTGGTGTTTTGGCAAGGCAGGCAGGCCAGTGGGTTTTTTCTACCAGCAAGAGTGAGGAAGAGGTGTCTGCACCAAAACGCTGTAAAACTTCAGTTCAAATGAAGACAGACACTAAGTAAGTGCTCACTCCAGTTTTTAAGCCCTTATTAAAAAGACTGAAAAGTGACTGCTACATAAAGATTCTTAGCAATTGCTATAACCATCAGATCTTTTCCTCTTCTCCTTGTTTTTTTTTTTCAGTGTTCATCCTCCGCCTACTGGCCGTTTCGTAACCCACCGCAGACGTGCAGCTGCCACCAAACCCAAACTCTCTACAGCAATAGCCAGCATACTCAGTTCTTCTGATGATTTTACTTGTGGAGCATTTGGTTTCGACAGGATTCATCGGCCTTCCAGGAGAAGGAAAGTCCCTTCAACAATTGGGGCGTCGAGTGTGGAGAACTCAATGAATGCTGCAGGGACTTCCAGCTTTGCCGCCAACCCCCTCCGAGAGATATCTCTCAATGAGCTGGCAGATCACAGTCTGGGACCCTGCCCAAGGAAACCTATCTTCTGCTCTACGCCCTCAGCAGGCTCCTTGAGCAAACGTGGACACCCTAAAGTGTTTCCATTCAACGATCAATCCTCCACTTCCCAATCCATGTCAGTCAGCTTTATAGGTGTCTTTGAAGAGGATTCACCAGAGAAGCCTGTGCCTCATTCTGCATCACTCACTGGACTTAACTACAAGGAGAAGCTGCAGCCAAGCCGAGATGAGCTGCAAAAACAAGCAGACCTGCATCACCACATAGAACCATCTGTTGACTTATTTGTGGACCCCAGGAGACGTAGCTGCAGTGACGAAGCCAAAAGCAATCATGAAGACTCAGGGCCTGAGAAAGATGGGGAATTACCAAGTGTAAATCTGCTTTCTACAGACAGTGGACGCAGCAGTCATTTTGTGTCAGCAGCAGCAGGGTTAGAGTGGCTGATAGAGGCTCTGAAGGAGAAATGTTTGACCGAGCGCTGCACAGTGCAGCTGGAGAGATTAGACTTCCTCACTGTGACTCAGCTCTGCAGTCAAACAACTTACTCATCCTGTTTGGAACATTCAAGCTCAGTTCACAGCCAGCGGACTGATGAACAGCCCCAGTCTATGGACGGCGGTCAAACGGTTGACAGTTCACAGTCTTTAGAAGCAGCACTTCATTTGTCCGTGGCAAACAATAAAACCAGTGATTATATACAGTCAGTAAATAGTTTTGAACAAACATCTTCCATGATTGACAGTCACAGCTGTAACATTTCTTCATTAGTTGACTGTAAGCAGTCAGCTGATCATTCATCCATACAGTCAGAATCAGTGCTTTACGTTGAATCCGGCAGCCACACAGACAGCAGCTGTGAGATTGTCACAGGCACGCAATTACCAGCCAGTAGTGCTTTGCAAACACAAAAACAGAAGGCTTTAGCAGCAAAGGATGAATGTCTTACCAAGAAACCCGTAGTTCAGATAAAAAAACTGTCTTCGTCACAACTGACTGTTCAACAACTCAAAGGCTTCGCACAGCACAAAGATGCAAGATTGGCTTGTAATGAGAAATGTGTTCATCTTAATGCTTACAAGTCTGAAGACGACCACACACATAACATGGATGACCCAGAAGATAACAAACATTCTGAGGAAATTACTGAAAGATTAATGGTTTCTAAACAATTAAATAACAGCCCATTAGCAAAGAGACAGTCTGCTGAGGGAGAAATGGAAGAAAAGGCAGCAGTGTTGAAGGGGAAGTGCCTAGCAGACAAATTAACTGTTGAGATAAAGAGATTCACTTTGTCGCAGGTGAAAGAAAATCTGCAATTCAAAGATGTCACACTTAAATCATCCACAGATGTGTCAGACTCAACCAGTGATGATCAGACAAAGACGGACCTTCTGTCTGAAAGTGACTCCAATCACTGTAATGAAGACACTGCTTCAGTGAAAGTCAGTGTAAAAAATCGAGGCTCAATTTGTTTGGAGGATAAGATTACTTCAGACAGAGAACCTGGAAAGAACTCTGGCAACGTTGTCCGTAACAGGAAAAAGATGTCCCTGGCTCCCAAAGAAAAGAAACGGAGGAGCACGTCTACAGACCGACCTGGGACAACAAGGAAGGCGTGTGTGAGCGGCATGAGCGTGAGTCGCTGGAAAAACAAAGGCGGCGACAGCACACACGTGTTCAGGGGCAGGACTGCACAGACTGGCCGGACCAAAGCTGTGGACTGTAGCATCAATGAGCTGATCCCCACACAACACAAACAGCCAAGGGTGAGAACAACATTCACAGAAACACAAATGACAGTTTTGTCATAAGGTAACATAATAATAAATAGTACACACAAGTATTTGATGGTTAAAGCCTTTAAAATGTGATGACTTACTGCTGCTTTTTGATATCACATATCACTGGAAATTTAACAGAACACATCTGCAAACTGTCAGACAACAAGGAATGTGAAAACATACGTTTGGGCGTCTAGTACTGGCTTTTAAACGAAAGAGGTCAAGGTAGACTATGAAAAGTCTGTAGGGAATTTTATTATTCTAAATTGTTAGCTGCTATACTATCAAGAAGCATCTGCAGTAATTTAAAGTGCAATATGCCGTTTTAATTCGACAAAGGGTGTATTAGATTATAAAAACTTGGTGTTCATACACAGCTCTGGCACTGTAAGGTGTTGTACTGACTGCAATCAAATTTTATTATCTGTTCAAGTCCGCTAGAGTCCGCATTAAACCTATCTGTGGCCGCCCACATGTAACACAAAATCTGTGTCCACCACTAAGTTACAAAGGCAGTAGTGGCCATGCTCAGCAGTGGTGAGCATGCACACAATATGTAGATGGAGATGTTCTGCGCATAGATGGAATGGTTTCTCAAGGCAGACTAGAAAGTAGTGTAATTTAAAACAATTACGCAACTGTCTGTGTGTGTGTTCTGCAGGGGAGTAAAATTCTGGCTGAACAGGGAAAGTAGCTTGGACTGATCCTTGCAACACTACTCCAGCGTATCCTGTGTATGTTTGTGTTTGTGCACAAGCTAAATATGTACAAACTTTCTTCAGAATTGCAGACTCCACTTTTAAAAAACATATTTGTTTTCCCAGTGCCTTGGATACAGCACCATGGAAGTGGAGTTTTGTTTATGCGGAAATATTCTTATGATGAGCACTGCAGAAGTTTCCACTAATATGTGTAGTTATCTAGTTTTTCAAGGGTATTTTTTTATTGCTCCAAGTGCCACAAATTTACCTCTTGGCATGATCTCACAACCTAGGCAAAAAAAAAATTCAAAACTGTCCATGTGTCCCCAAAGCAAAGACACAAAATATGTCTGTGTGCTGAACATAAATTGTATATCTGTTTAATGTGTGTATTGTTTTCAGTTCTGGCATAATCCACCCAACAGAAATTAAGCATTTAAAAGTAAAAAAGGATTTAAAGTCATATATCTTGTGTGTAGGAGTTGTTGGGAGCTACCACAAATTTCTCTACGCCGCTGAAAGCAAATCAGCTCAACCTCTCGTCTCTGTTGGCGGATTTCACACCAAGCACACACACCTGGAGCCGACTCAAAGCCGCCCTCTCCGTTCACCGCAAGGCCATGGGTAATAACACACATCACTAAGTTCTAATCAAGCCGTCAGTGGTTTTGACTGAAATTTTTAAGCTCACAGTTCAAGTACACATGTCCCCTGTGATCGAGTCAGCTCATCTCTGCTCCCTCTCGTTAGTGCTGCTCACTCCGAGGAGTTTACATCTGTCAGCGTCCAGCTCTCCTGTGAGGACCGAGCTCGCCGACGTCAGCCGGGATCTCTTTGCCACTCCCTTACGGACACCGCTCTCCAGACGCCTCCAGTCACAGCTGCAAAGCCAAACATCTCTGGTACGATGCACAGTGCACATCCGCTAATATGAAGTGATAACTGCACATTACTGCCATCAAGTCTCAAAGTGATAGGCATAACAGGATTATCAACTTTCTGCTTCTTACCCTCCACATACTGGGTGCTTTACTGTGATTGGGGTATTACAGCAGATTGGAACCTCTAGTCTGTGAATGAGTGTAACCTCCACGCTCCCATCTTCTGCTGCAGGTTGTGTGTGAAGATGCAGAGCTGTCGGATGCAGAGAAGGTGTACTCTGAGTGTGGCCAGCAGCAGCCTCTGCCCTGGGAGGAGTGTATTCTCCCTCATCGTATGAAGCGGTGTGTGAAGATCGGGGAGGGGACCTTTGGTGAGGTCTTCTCAACCACCAATGCCTCAGGAGACACTGTGGCACTCAAAGTACGTGTGTTTGTGAGTGTATTACTTTGTGTTAGAGGTATTGTTTTGTTTAGATTCTGACAGTGTGATCAATATAAACCATACTGCATTATATATGTAGTGTCATAACGTTAAGCGGGTTGTATTTCCAAGGCTTTCTTCCGTGAAAGAAACTAGGTCATGTGTCATCACGAGAGAATTTCAGTCATATGATAACAACAAGTTGTGTTTATAGTACACACCATGCGACAACACCTGAGGAAATTGTATTTACTGAAGAAGCTGTGAATTATGGTCAAATGTTATGGGTAAAGCCCGTAAATGTACCTTGAGTTTAACGCAGTGTAGCATTTTTTTGTCCGTGGTCAAGAATGAATCTCCATTTCTAAACTGAAAAAACACAGATATGTTCGGTAATAAAGACTTGTCATAAATGTAGGGATGTGTACAGTATAATCTGAAGGAACACTGGATTGTGTTTTCAGATCATTCCTGTAGAGGGCAGTGAGAAGGTGAACGGAGAGGACCAGAAGACTTTTGGAGAGATTCTCCATGAGATTATTATCTCAAAGTAAGCAGCACACTGGGTAACACTTCACACCACATCAGTCCATTTCCTAAAATCCTAGGATCATGAGGTCTGAATATTTCAGTCTAGTGGTACCTAATGATGAACCTTTGAAGCCACATCAAAGTAGTCCTGCGATAATGAACAGCGTTGTCGTGTTTTTCCGACAGGGAGCTGAGCAGCCTGAAAGAGAAGCAGCACAACCAGACTCACGCTTTTATTGGACTTAATGAGTGAGTATTCTCTTTGGTCTTTGTCTTTACTTTTGTTAGCGTCCCAGCAGTTTTGAATGTTAACGTGACTTGATGTGTCTGTTGTTCCCTCACAGTCTTCATTGCGTTCAAGGCTGCTACCCTCCAGATTTCATGAATGCTTGGGATGCATTTGATCAGCGGAAGGGTTCTGAGAATGACAGACCAGGTCAGTGAGAGAAAAGCTTTTTTTTTTCTTTTTACACAGTATTTCATTTCTTTTGACTTATTATAGCAACTATCAGAAACCAAACAAAAACGGCTAAAAGAAAATATACACCTATCAGCAACAACACTAAAACCAGGTCAGGTGAAGTGAATAACATTTAGTATCTCGTGACAATGGCACCTGTCAGTGGGTGGGATATAATAGGCAGCAAAGTTAACAGTCAGGCCTTGAAATTGATGTGTTGAACGCAGAACAAATGGACAAGCGTAAGGATGTTGGCCCAGAGCCAAACTGTGATGGCTAGACACCTGGGTCAGAACATCTCCAAAATGGCAGCTCCTGTCAGCTGTTCCCAGTTTGCAGCGGTTAGTATGTAGCTAAAGTGGTTCAAGGAAGCACAACTGATATACTAGTGACAGGGTTATGGGTGGCCAAAGGTCAGTGATGCACGTGAGGAGTAAAGGCTGGCCCATGTAGTCTGCTTCCCACAGAAGAGCTACTGTAGCAGAAATAGCTGAAAACTCTATTTCTGGCTATGGTAGAAAGGTGTCAGAACAAGCGTATGGGGCTGTGTAGCTGCAGATTAGTTAGGGTGCCGTTGCCCCCGCCACTAAAAGCACTTACAATGGGCACCTGAGCATCAGAACTGAACCATGGAGCAATGGAAGAAGGTGACCTGATCTGTTCAGTCACATTTTTTTTATTCCATGTAAAAAACAATCAAATTAAGTGTCTTTGGGATGTGCTAGAAAAACATTCACAGAGGTACCACCTCACAGCTTCCAGGACTTCAAGGATCTGCTACTAACACCTTTGTGCCTGATACACCTTTCATGGTCCTTGACAGGTCAAAGCTGTTTTGACAGTATAAAGGGGGTGAACATGATATTAGGCAGGTGCTTTGAATGTTGTAGCAGATCAGTGTTCAACTATATATAGTTTGTTCTCCATCACTTTGGCTGTAACAGTAGACTTCTTGAATCATTGGGTTTTTCTTCATGTGTCTTTGCGTAGATTTCTTTAAAAAGGATCAGTTCTTCATAATCCTGGAGTTTGAGTTTGGAGGCGCCGACTTAGAGAACAGCAATGGAACGGTAGGAACGCTGCATGACACCGAATGACAGATGACTTGTACCTTCCCTGTGCCGTTGTTGAAGATAAACTTTAAATGCTGCTATAATTTCTCTGCGGTAGTGACAGTTTCAAGCCCTCTGTCTTCAAAGTGAAGCATGACGAGCGACGCTCTCTTCTCATTACACAAGCTTTAGCTCATTACACTCGCACACTAGCTGTATAATGTGCTCAAAAATTAATGAAGACAGAATGCATTAAAAAATAATACTGTCTTGAATTGAGTCATTACAACTTAATATCAGCTAGACCATACATTAGATTTCCTGCTGGAGGAAATACTGAAAGAGGATGCTCAACAGCTGCACAAAATCCCTAGTTTCTGCAAATGCTGTGTACTGATTCGAAACAACAGGGAATTCTATTTTCTAAGCATTAGCTTATAATTGCACAGTGTTTCAGTGGTGTCAGAGTGAAAGGCAGCTTTTAATTTAAGCCTTTTTTGTGTTAAGTTTGCGTCTTTAAGGGTGGCGAAGAGCATCCTTCATCAGGTCACTGCTGGGTTGGCTGTTGCGGAGCAGGAGCTACACTTTGAACACAGGTACAGTACGATCACACACTTTATCAAATTACACGACAGATGGACTGCATGCATCACTACTTTCGTACACTGAGCAGGAGATGATACTGTGTGTATAAAATCTATAAAATGTCAGTTTTCCCAGAGCCCAAGACGATCCCTTCAAACATCTTGTTTTGTCTCACACTCAAACCAAAACTTTTCAATGTTATTTATTATAGTAAAGATTAAGAAAACCAGCAACTTTCCACCTTTGAGCAGGTAGAAACTGAATAAAAATTGTTGATAGTTGTTGATTAACTTACCAATTAGTTGACTAATCAGTGAAGCTCTAGTTGGTGTAGATGCAAAGCTGATATGCACGATCTCTAGATTTGTTTTTTTCAACCTAATCTCTAGAGCATACCTTTGTGCTATCATCAGCTAAGACACAAGCGAACAACTTCCATAGCTTTGATATTTTTAAGTAAATTTAACTTACAGACCAGATCTGTCATGAAAGTTTCCTTTAAGTGATCAACTTGAACTCTGAGTGTCACAGCAGGGGAGAAATGTGGCGTTCAGTCGAGTCAAGTGACAGACTTCATGGTGTGAGCCAGCACAGTGACGCAGTTGGTGTATATGTGGTGTGAATGTGATGGATGATTTGTTGGTGTCTTGTAACAGTCAGGAACTTTATCCCCTCTGTCCTGTTTACTGCAGGGACCTCCACTGGGGCAATGTGTTGGTCAAAACAACCAAGGAGAAGACGGGGAGCTTCCTTCTAAATGGAACGGCCCACTGTGTGGAAACCAAAGGGGTGCTGGTCCGCATCATTGACTATTCTCTGTCCAGACTTGAAATTGGTCAGATATTTTCTACGCCCTACCTTCCACTGTCATGTTTTAAAGATCTCATTTTGTGCTCATAATATGCCGTTAAAAACCGAGAGCAGTTTGACAACCACATGCTTTGTTCTCTCCAGATGATCTGACGGTGTCCTGTGATATCTCGAATGATGAAGACCTCTTCCTGGGCCAGGGGGACTACCAGTTTGAGGTCTACAGACTGATGAGAAAGGAAAATGGGTCAGTCCAATTATTCGTTAGCAACAAATTTGGAAACACCCACGTGTCATGTAGCTGGATTTCCTCTGTCACATTAACGTTAATAATATGCATATAGAAGAACTGTATCCCTGCACCACCATCACTATTATGCAGTGTGCAAACTTTGGGAATCTTATTGTGTTTAAACGTGACCAACAAAATGCAATAACGAGTTAAAAATACCATCCATTAATTCTCTTATAATGCTATTGTGATCATAGTCTCCCAATTTAATTTACAAGTCCCTCCTCTGTCGTTGACTTAACTCCTAACACTCATCTCTGTGCATCAGAGTTACATATTTACAAGTTTGAAAATAAAAAGGCTTAGGTGTAACTCTGCGAAGTTGGTTTACATTTTAACGATACCACGACTCTTAACGATGGTGCTTATTGATCCTATACTTTAACAGTACTCTTATATGTACTTTGTCATCTTGGTGGTAATATTAGAGTAATTCAGCAATACATGTTCGAGCCAGAAGCTAATTCTTAAAAAGAATAATGATACAGAAAGTTCCACCTCCATGTTCCGTAGGTTTGTTTTTGAAGCTGTCATCAGTACAGCTTTTAGTTCTAAATGCTCAGCGATGGCATCAATTGCTTATTTTGCTCATGATGTCTCTTCTACCACATAGAAAATACCAGATGGGGTCTTTAAGCTATCGGTATATATATATATATGTAATTTCTGTCATCTAGCTAACCATGAAGGTGTTTGCACAGCTCGACCAGGAGTTTTATAATCCTGACAAGCTCTTAATCCAACAAGAGACATTTTCACTGCTGTTAATCTCAACAACAGTAGAAAAGTGAGATAACGTTACGTAACGCGATCTCTCCCCCCACTATCGCAGACACACTGTCTCTCACTCCCTCACTCTTAACTGTGAGTTTTCTACATTTCTTCTCTTTTTTTCAATGTATGCCACTAATACAAGGTGAGAGAGAAACATCTTCTCTGTATTTCCTGGATATATAGAGAAACTGACACAAAAAAGTCTTTCGTTCTATTCTTTTCTATTGATTTTATTGTGCGGTTTTAGTTGCATTTTCTCTCCAGTTTTCTTCTCTTTCTCTGTAGCTAACATTATTAAGCATCTTTATTTCAGTCCTCTTTCCTCTTTTTGTTGTTAAAGGACTTGGACTATATAATTAATTCATATATTATAAACAATTTTTTGGATAGTTGCTTACAAAAATGATGCTAGGTTGCTCCACATCTTCCAACCTATCAGAATCCAACACATATCACAGGTAGTGTAGCATAATGGAGCCTAGATATTTCAAGAAACTTCCTATTGATTGGATTTTTGCTGAATGAATCAATATGATATCCAGAGATTCAAATCAGCCAATTAGAGACTTCAAATTATAAGGCTTTCCTTACTGTACACCATTGATAGGATGGCTACATCTGGGGCTTGTGTGGTCTGATACATGGTTTATAGGAGTCATCCAGAGACTACAACCTCCTCAACCTCATACTAATATTTCATTGTAATTTGTCATAAAGGACAATGCACTTCTTTCTTCTTTTGTTGGATAAGAAGCTCTCTCATATATGTCTGTTAGCTACAACCAGCAGCTACTCGTTTTTTCTAATTTCCATTTCCCAAATGTTGAATATTGCTTTCACACACCCAATCCGTCTTCTTGTGAACGTTTCTGCTCTTCCACAGCGTCAAACCATCATCTCAGAATGGTTGTAGTGGTGATTTATCAATCCCCTGCTGCTGTTTTTGTCTTTTTCAGAAACAACTGGAGTAACTACCACCCCCATACCAACGTACTGTGGCTCCACTACCTGTGCTCCAAGCTGCTTTCCATGAAGTACCGGGGCACTGGAGGGAGGAGCGCCAAGGACATGCGAGAGGAGCTCACTCGTTTCTATGACAACGTCCTCCAGTACAGCTCTGCCACGGAGGTGCTGCAGAACTGCCCCATGTTTCAGTAGTATGTGAGCACTGAACAACTGAATTGTGAGAATGCTTGTATATGTTTTTTTTTTTTTCCTAGTATGAAAAAGGTGCAATGAATCTGGGTCGTTTGAATTCGACGCCCTTCGCTCTGTAGCCTGTCTTCTTTGTTAACCTCGGACATGTAAAGACAGTTATTGATCCTCTTGTAACTAGCAGAGATGAAGGTTGCTTCATCTTGAGACAAAGGTTATTAAAATGACCATGTGAAAACGATGTATTTGTGTGTTTATGGAGCTCGTTTATCTGTTTCTGCATGTTTTTTTTTTCTTATTTAACTGAATTCAGTTTCATGCATCTTAAATATAAAAGCAGAGAAAATATTTTAATAAATTTTGGTTTCTAATTTTTGTAGATGTTTGTAGTGGTATTGTGCTCAAAATTCTGTGCAGTCTGTTTAAGTGCTTAAACACTTGGTCCATGAGTTGGCTGGTGGAAATGAATCACCAACGACTAAATTTGATTAACTAGTCTTAAAAGAAAAAATGCTTGATCTTCTCTGGTTGTAGCTTCTCAGATTTACAGCCTTCTGATGCTAAACACGGACTTTTAAGAAGTTGCCTTTGGCTCTGGAAAATGGTGAATATTTTCAGAATGCTAATGGGCTAGATGATTAATCTATTAGCTATTTTTCAATTAGCTGATAATGACAATTATCAGTTCATCAAGAACTAAGCTACAAATACCGCATGTGAGGAAACTAATTCTAAAAAAAAAAACAAAGGCCACATGTGGTCATATGAAATTGCAAATAATCTGTTGAATTAGATCTTAATAAATAATGTCAAAATAGGTAACTGCTGTCCAACATACAGATGGGACAATTAACAGTTTAAAGGGAAACCTGTTATGGCAGCAGTTTGACCTTTTGTAACACAGAAGATGGAGATAAAAATTAATAAAATGCATCTATTAAAGGATCTGATGCTGTTTTGCAAGAAAATGTTCAAACATTGCATTCTCTCTGCTTGAGATCAATAAAGTTAATGTTCTTTGAGGATTAAACAATATGATAATAGGAATGCCCTGAGACTACAAATTTGTCACCTGACAGATTTGTTCATCCTCAGTTTTAAAGAAACGTTTTCAGCGGCTTTCGGTTGCTCTTAATTTTAGCATCTTACATGTATTTGATTTTCTTTTTGTCTTGCTTGTAGTATTTTGTTTATTTTGTTTTCAGTTTGATTTTATATGGTTTTATGCTGTTTTCTATCTTGCTTATTTCCGTTGTTGCCTGACCATATGTTACACAATCGTCAACTGTGGGTGATTTAAAATGTGCTGATAAATAGATGTCATTTGAAATGACAGATGTTGGCCACTACGAATGATATAAATTTAAATCGCTATGTCATTACTGGAATTTTGAACTCTCAAATTTCTGCTAAAATCAACATCTCTCAGGATTTAATGGTCATTTTGGATTTTTATATGACTTTTGTAACAATGAGAAGAAAGAATTTGATTTGTAATGATTTTGATTTGAGGAATACTTTATGAAAAAGTCTTTTCTTGTTACCTTTGATATAAATGTCAGAAGACATTCAGGGCCGTTCTCCATGTAAGTGGCACACAAAGTCCAAACTAACGCTACACATTATCCTCCTTTGTTTCCTGGAATAGCAGCATCATGATGTCTGACTGTTTCAGTTTTCTGATACCTAACGAAGAGCCTTGAAACCACATCAAAGCGGTCCAGCTGGGCAGCGCTGACTGAACAGCGATGGTTTGTTTTTCTGACCAAACACTGAGTCGCCTCAAAGAGAAGCAGCAGAACCATCACTGGACTCAGTAAGTATTCTCTTTGGTCTTTTTTGTATGTTAGTTTCTCAGCAGTTTTGAGTGTTAATGTGACTGTTCCCTCACAGTTTCCACTGCGTCCAAGGCTGCTGTACCTAATAATAGTTTCTAATTATCTGACACACATTTTTAGCAACAATAAAGCTCAAAGAATGTTTTTTTTTCTTTCTTTCTTTTTTTTTTTTTGCTTTCCTGTATAGGAAGAAGAAGCGCTTTACAAAAACAAAATATTTTATTCAATTTCTTCATTAAGATATTTATACATTTTTGCATTGAAACAAGCTTCATTTTGGTATGGTGAGTCGCGTGTGTCCATTTTGACATGGATCTTGGTTGAATATGTCGAATGCTTCCATACTCAAAGAGACACTTGGTTGTTGGACTTTAGGAAATGTACATTTGCCTGGAGTAATTGTGTGATGAGATCGGAGCAACAGTTGCATTTAAAAAAGGAAGACTGCCTTTTAAAAAAAGATATGGACACATTCCAAACGATACAAACAAGATCCGGCAGGCCTTATGTTCTGAGAAGAGGTCAGGCATGTGTTTGAGAAGCACTTTTTGGTTGAGCTTTGAGGCAATGTTTGAGATGGCCTTGCTGGTGATGAGCCTGTATGTCTGTTTATGTCGATGTGTTTGTCTGTTTGTGTGTGTGTGTGTGTGTGTGTGGGTCTGCGTTTTAAAAGTCGTGTATGTGTGTGGGAAGCAAACCGATGTGTATAAGAAGCAATGAACTGTATATGAGATGTATTTGCAGCTGCTGTATGTGTGTGTGTGTGTGTGTGTGTTCATGTGTTTTTGTGCTCAGAAGGAGAAGTATTTGGTGAACCACTCCTGCTTCAGCCCTTCAGTCCCCCGCTGCTCCAGGTACGGGCCCCTGCAAAACACAACAAACACAACACGGTGACTTGTTTCACTGCAACTGATGTCATGATGCTACGGTTCAGAGCACTTCAAGGCTAGTTTAAGTACATACTAACATGTGTGTATACCATCATGGCAATCAGTTGGATGTGAATTCAAGTTAAGGCCAAAAACACGTCCACAGGATCAAGAAGCTTTTAGAAATTACAATCTTATATTTCCTTCTGGGTTTTAATTTGAATAGTTTTGACAACACGTCTCTCTTTTATATAAAATGTTTATTTAAGTCAAGATTAATTTTGTTATTGTCGATAGCAGGAGACATTTATTGACATGCCTGTGAATCTGCTGAGAAAATATTTACTTGTAACAGACTAAAAGAGGGCCAATAAATAAAGCCAAAATATTACACAGGCTGCAGTGCACTTCCTACTTTCCTCTGTGTAAAATATAAAAACACAAGTTGGAACTTTCTATCATTGCGTCTGGCTTTTATATCCAGGTATTGGGAAAATATTGCCGAGAAGCTGAGCTCAATTTTGCACCAAATAGCTAAAATAGAACCAGTCGTGTTTCTCCTGAGTGTAGCTACAGATCGACTCTCCTTATGCAGCTGACTTTAATAAGGAAACTTCTGCTTCTCGTGAGGCTGTGTTTTATGTTTCACTGGATCAGGGTGAAACCTTCCCCCCTCAGTCACACAGTGGTACAAAGAAACATTCCTCAGTGCGACATTTAAGGGAAATTCAAACCTCTTTTATAATAATTCTTCGACCTTCCTGGTGATTTTGCTGGTCTACTACAGAAAGGGCACTTTGTCCTCACAAACTAGTCAAAGACATTTAATAGTGACACTTTCATCTGATGTACTATTAATGTAAACGAGCATGTGTATGATGTGATGTATGTTCATGTAACTCATGTATGTTAATTATTTTGGTAATATCGGCGCTGTCTGGTGCTTTTGTGAAAAAATAAGGGAATTTTCAAAAAAGAAAACAAGAGGCATAAACCAGAAAAATGCAGGACAAAGGCAACATGAAAAATATGCATTTAAAGGAGAGAAAGAAACCACAAAATACAGACCTGTATCTGAACAAACAAATATTTAACAGTCTACCTGTAGGTGCAAAAGTCTGATTTTATTTTTTTATGTCCACTACATATAGTAAAGTTTTTGAATCTTATTATAAGCTGAAGCAAACACTGGTACCACCGCTAAATACAGAAGCCTTTAAGTGTTTGGTATGACACAGGCTTGAATGAACTCACATGAACTAGTAATTTATACTTAAGTTACTATCAGCTTAAATAGAAAACATCACTAAGAATGATTGTGCTGTTGTCCCTGCTGCTTTTCTACCTCTTTAATATATTTCAGATGACATTTAAAGGGTCTTTAAAAAAAGTTAAAGATATAATAAATGTGTGAAAAAATAATTTGTACTCATCTTTCTACTCATATTACAGAGAAATGTTAAGCGATTTGTTTTTACTCGACATTTTCGCCTTGACACGTCTGATAATATAAATGTACTTTTCACACCGTGACTTGAAAGATATTTTGGATGTATTTTCCTTTTTTTATTTAAGCTTTGAAGTGAAGGAATGTCTTCTATTTGACTTTTGTTCTGTATTTTTCTGGTTTGCGCTTGTCGATTTCTCATTGACACATATTTTTATCCTTAAGAATGCAGTTTGCTGAAACAAACTTGTCGTACTCATGAGTGTGCAGCTTTCCCGTTCCCTCCTTTTTCAGACTTGCAGCCTGTACCTGATTGAGTGGGCCTGCAGGTGTGCATGTGGCTCCTGGCAGGAGGGGGACACGTATCGTATGCCCGTCTGAGGAGAGGGGCAGACGGGGAGAGGAGCGGTTGGCGCCGGGGTGGGAGGGATGCAGGAGGTCCTGGACCTAGTGGAGCGGGGGAGGGAGGGGGAGGAATGTTGGCTGAGGGAGAGGGAGGTGTGCTTGTGTGGAAGGGAGGAGGTGGAGTAGTGGGGGGAGGTCTGGGGGTGGGAGGAGGACTGGTGGGGGAGGGTGGAGGAGGAGTGCTGATGGATGGAGGAGGAGGAGGAAGACGAGGACGAGGAGTGGGGCTGGAAGACACTCCTGTCGTAGGTGCCGGCGCCGGAGATGCTGGTGACACGAGGAGGCGACTCCACGCGTTTCCTCTGTCGGGAGAACACAGCCGCATACTGGTGAGAGGCTTATATAGACTTGCATACATCAGGCTGCAACAGCGTGTTTGTTATTCATGTTTTTGTTACTTAACCCTTACATACTATTCAAATGTATGTTTTATGTCTTCCATGCTGTGAAGAATCTCTGTCAAGAATTCCCACATAGTAAGCATCTATATCAAATTTTAAACGACAGATCTATTTAGAATGTCTAAATAGCCTATGTCACATTAATAAATGTAAATTAAAAAACACATAAAGCATGGCCTGCACAATTTCAAGATTCCCTACAACCACCATTTTCCTTGATTTGATCCACACTGGCACATGTAAAATCCATCCATCTTAATGGACCCGAAACTGCCTCAGTGTAAAAAAAAAAAAAAAATGTAGCACCTGTACAACCATAAAATTTCAAAATATTTTAATTTTTGTGTATTTTGGGTCCTTTTAACCTCTTAAGACCTGAGCTCTTGTTTGATATGCATTTTTAGTAATAAAAATTTAAAAATATAAAGAAAATAAAAATATATAATAAACAGTTTAAAATATATATATATATATACAATAATTTAAAAAAAATATATATATATTATGTGGTAATACAACCCAAAATGTGTTGTCCATGCATGTGGCCGCCAGGTCTCAAGAGGTTAAGAAACTTTCAGGCTAAAAGAATGACATTTAGGGTGTTTATTTAGGGTGACTGCTGTCAAATGTCACAAGGGGTCAAATTTGCCCTGAAACAGAGAAAGTAAGGGTAAAGGATGACATCAACCTAAATCCACAGCGAGACTCCTGCTATTTCTTTACTTTAACATGAGCAATATGTTCAAAATAAAGTAGACTTAATGTGTTCTCTGCTGTTAAACAACGAAAGGACCACCAGTACTGTGGGTGTTTTAATTTAAAAAGAATAGTTTCTTTTAGTTGACAAATCTACTAAAACCCCAAAACCAACAATGTATCCAAAGCTGGATGCAACACTTTCCTCTGCGCCTCCATTGTCCTATTTTTTATTTCACAGTTAAATCGGTGAGCCACAAATGTCCCTTTATTACAACAAACACAGCCTCTGTAGTTAACGTTAGGTCAGTCCCCGGTGTGCTGTACCGGTGCTGGAAATGCTTACTAGCATTTCCAAAAAGTGCATTAATCCTTGGCTGAAAATAGTCACTTACAAATGCACTATTAAGTCCAATTTAAGTAACTCCTGCTAAAATCTGCAGTGCCCAGCTGGTGAAGTGATGTTTAAGCCTTTTTATATCTGTATTAAAATGAATACATTAATAATAATTACTATCATCAGCCTTGCTTTTTATTCCAGCCTTTGCTAGATGTGGTAGTCGTAACAGAAGACACAGCTTATTAGTTCCTCAAAACAAGGCGCACTTCTACTAAAACATGCCCCTAGTAATGACTATACGGAGATAAACCAAAAATTTGTTTCCAACAACCATCGCAGGAACAGCGTATGGTGATGCTGTGTTTTAGCTTTCATCCAGATTTACAATCCCAGCCTCTCTGTGCTCATTTATCAATGAATGTAGGTAAATTAATGCACGCTGCCCTCAGTTTCTGCCTTAAATTATGATTCAGGCTGTTTAGATGCTTTTGTTTTTGCCATAAAACTCTTTTTGTAGTGTAGCTTCTACAGCATGATGTCTGTAAATTGTACATCATCATATTTGCATGCAAAGTATTTCATTAAAACAGATCTCAGGTTGAAACAGATTTGACATCAAGTGAAAATATTCAAAGCCTAATTAAATTCCTGTTATTTATTGGCTCCACACCTCACAGTTAAAAAAAAAACAAAAACTTCACACACACTTCTTCATCTTTACTGTCCAAATGTAATTAAATGCAGTGTGATGGAGTTACTGTGCCAAGGAGGCCCGTCTTTACGGCGAGCGATGTGCCGAGTGGGCGAGCTTGTACATTTTACCGCCTCATGCCACAGAAGCAGAAGTTGGCTTCGACCCACCAAGCCCTTCTGGCGGGCTTCGCTTTGACGAATACATTATGTGCATGAGTCGAACAGACAAACTCACCCTCATGGTTGGCGTGACGCTCCCGGGGCGGGACTTGCTGCTGTCACGGAGCCTGAGGGTGCTGTTGTCCCCGGCAACAGGAGGGTGGAGCTGCAGCTGATGCCTCTCTTCCTACAGGGAAGGAGGACGAGGAAGGACTTTCATTGGCCTTATTCACTATTGGTGCTGTTGTTGTGGTTGTTGTGTCTGGAGGGTGTACTTGTTTGCTAAGCTGCCTCATGCCACACAGATGGTAGACACGGCACTCAGTCAGAGGACACTTTAAAAAAAAAAGCAACATTCTCCTACGCATATATGACCACCGATGATTCATGAAGACACGGTTCCAATTAGATTTACTCCGAGTAGTTACAGTAATTCAGTTTTGTGAAGAACAGCCCAGTTTTTCATCAAGTCTTAGTCACAAAACTGCCTCTAGGAACGACACTTGGATGATGCTTTCTGACTACTAATCAGAGAAGCTGATATTGTCGATACTTGGTATTTGCAGTTACCAGATAAGTGACTGTTGAGACAGAAAACATGGAATAGTATTTGTCCCAACCGCTAGGATGTCCCTTAGGTGCTCAGATTAATGGAAAGTTTGGACAGCTGTAGTTACATGGCTCCTGAGCAAACTAAATCTGCTAATGGGAACTGTGTGATATGGTTTCCAAGGTCAAGCATAAAGCCACGAGCTCAGATGTCTTGACTGATCGGCCGGCGAGGGCATCTTCAAGACAGTTTAGCAAGAAGTCGTTAAACAAAGTCTTTATTGGGCTGATTGAAGAAGTCAAATCAAATCATGAAAACTGAGAGACGTGAGACTCCTAAACAGCCTACTTGGAGGAATATTAGTTGCCCTGGAAACACAGTACATTTCACAAACAAACAGCTTTTAATGAGCAGCCTTTGCACCGTGTCATGTACAGGGACAAGCCAAGGATTTAAATATAAGCCTGGTGATATTCTTTATTTTTTCTTATTGTCAACTAAACCAGTTTTAGTCCATCTCACAGTGATTTCAGACGTCCACAGCTTGCCTGTGACAATCAGCACCCTAAAAACACAAATACACTGCTCAAAAACATAAATGGAACACCTAAACAATACAATGTAACCCCAAGTCAGTCACACTTCTGTGAAGTCAACCTGTCCAGGTAGGAAGCAACACTGATTGTGAATCAGTTTCACCTGCTGTTGTGCAAATGGAACAGACAACAAGTGGAAATGAGAGGCAATTAGCAAGACAACTCCTATAAAGGAGTGGTTCTGCAGGTGGTGACAACAGATCATGTCTCTGTTATCATCCTTTCTGGCTGATATTTTGGTCACTTTTGCATTTTGTCAATGCTCTCACCCCTAGAGGTAGCATGAGGCGGTGTCTACAACCCACAGAAGTTGCGCAGGTAGTGCAGCTCATCCAGGATGGCACATCCATGCGAGCTGTGGCAAGAAGGTTTGCTGCGTCTCTCAGCAGTGTCCAGAGCATGGAGGAGATACCAGGAGACAGGCCAGTACACCAGGAGATGTGGAGGAGGCCATAGGAGGGCAACAACCCAGTAGCAGGACTGCTACCTCCTCCTTTGTGCAGGAGGACCAGGAGGAGCACTGCCAGAGCTGCAGAATGACCTCCAGCAGGCCACTAATGTGCATGTTTCTGCTCAAACTGTCAGAAACAGACTCCATGAGGGTGGTATGACGTCTACAAGTGGGGCTTGTGCTTACAGCCCAACACCGTACAGGGCGATTGGCATTTGCCAGAGAACACCAAGATTGGCAGATTGACCACTGGTGCCCTGTGCTCTTCACAGATGAGAGCAGGTTCACACTGAGCACATGTGTCAGACGTGACAGAGTCTGGAGACGCCGTGGAGAACGTTCTGCTGCCTGCAACATCCTCCAGTATGGTCGATTTGGCGGTGGGTCAGTAATGGTGTGGGGAGGCATTTCTTTGGAGGGTCCACAGCCCTCCACGTGCTAGCCAGAGGTACCCTGACTGCCATTAGGTACTGGGATGAGATCCTCAGACCCACTGTGAGACCATATGCTGGTGCAGTGGGCCCTGGGCTTCTTCTGATGCATGACAATGCTAGGCCTCATGTGGCTGAAGTGTGTCAGCAGTTCATGCATGATGAAGGCATTGATGCTATGGACTGACCTGCCCGTTCCCCAGACCTGAAACCAACTGAGCACATCTGGGACATCGTGTCTCATTGCACTACAGACTGTCTTTGCATTTGTCTTTGTTTTTGCAAACATTATACAAACTGGAGTAAATAACGCAAATGTCAGAGATGCATTTGCTGCTCTGATAAGGATTTTCGGCAGAAACGTATCACCCAGGGCAACAACTTGGTAGTTTTTGGACAACAATGGAACTTTATGGTGCACATAACAGATAGTATCAAGCTTTGACTACACAAACCAGGGTGAGGAACTGTGCGACCGACGTGTTTTTACTTTAGTTTTCACTCTTCATTGCTGGCTTTAGTGTTTTTATGAGATTTGTTGACAGTAACAAAAATATAGAATATCACCAACCAGTTATAAAAGGAGCAGTTCCTCAGGTAAACAATGACTGCTGAGCCTCTGTGTTTGTGTTCTCACCACTAGTCGTTTAATGAGCTGGTCTCTCTCCGTCAGTCTCTCCTGGAGTCTCCCCAGCTGCAGGTCATCGCATCGAGGCTCCCTCCTCCTGCAGCGCTCCTCCCGCTCGCGCAACCTGCAGTTAAATCATATACAGAAACACGAAAACTTTCTCACATACCTGCACTGAAGTTCATCTACAGTTTGACCACATCATATTCACAGCGAACCCTCTCTCTGCTCCTCGTGTCTGTCCTCTACTCACTCGTTCTCCAGGGCCACGATTCGAGCCTGCAGGTGAGTCTGAGCGCTGCTGTATTCAGACACCAAACTCTGCATCTCCCTCTTGTGCTCCCTCCTGATCTCCTCCACCTCCTCCCTCCTCTTCTCCTCCTCCCGCTCCTTCTTCTTCTCCTCGTCCAGCTCCTCCTCCTTGATGTCCTCGTCCTTCCTCTCCTCCCAGTGTTTCTGAGACTCCTCCAGTTTCTCCATTTCCACCCTCAGTTTCTCCACTTCCTCCTTCAGACGTTGTGCTTCTTCTTCCAGCTGGGCGTCTCTCTTCTTCCTCAGCTCTACGCTTTCCTCTTCTTTCTCTTCGGCCTCTGAATTTTTCTGCACTGACCTAGGAAGGAATAATACATCCAAGAACAGCATGTGAATAGTGGTTGTGACCTCTTTGACACAATAAAGCAGCTACGATGAGTTACAAACAGGTGTTACGAGATGTGTCAGAAAAGTTCCAGGACTGATGTCACAAAAGATAGATTTCAAACCCAAACAACAAACTACGAGTTTTCCCCTTCAGATGATCAACCAACACATCTACAAAGACATCTTGAGGTGTTTGCTTCGTTCAGTGCGTGGGACGAGGAGAGAGTTGTGGCAGGACAAGTCGTTGCTGCTTCACCATGACAATGCGCTGCTCACAATGGCCTGAGCATCCGACAGTTTCTGGCTGAGAAGAACATCTCTGTAGTGAAGCAACCTCCCGACTCACCCCATCTGGCTCCGTGGGACTTTTTCCTCTTCCCCAAGCTCAAGGGGGTCATCAAGAGGACCCGTTTTGAAGACGTGGACGACATCTAGATGGCTGTGACGACGGAGCTGCAGAGGATCCTGGAAGAATCCTTGCAGGAGTGCATGGTGGCGTGGCAGAGAAGGCTGGGAAAGTGTGTTTATACTCCAGGGGAAAACTTGTAGTTTGTAGTTTGGGTTTGAAATGTATCTTTTGTGACACCAGTCCTGAAACTTTTCTGGCACATTTCGTATTGTTTGCACTACTAGACAAGACCTCAGGGATCCTGTAAATGGCAGAATCCATTAAACCTTGTTAATTTACGCTGCTTATTACCGTACTAGATATACTTTCTGTGTAGTATCTATTATAGTAGCTCTGATTTGTGCATACCAATGCAGAAAAATCCCAAATATACTCAAAAGAAGTGCATAAGTGCAACATACCTGAACATGTTTAGTCATATGCTGCGATAAATTTTAGCCGAGATGTGAACAGCCTTTTAGATGTATTTTAACAAATAATTTTTTAAAAAACAAAAAACTGTTCACTCAGTATGTCAATTATCTAAATCTTTTCTCACTCCACTAATATGTAGTAATCAGAAGCAACAACAGACCTAGAGACCACGTTGCGATGGGATCGCACCAGCCATTCAGGCCCACCAGTCCTCAGTAGTAACTATGACATTATTACCTGCTGGTGTTGTTTTCATCTTGTGAGTCTTTGTGTAAGTTTGTGTGTGTGTTATGGTGGTTTTGAATCCTTTGGCAGCTGTTTGTTTTTTTTACGTATTAAGACAGATTTTTTTCAACATTACATTACCACAATCATGCAAGATGCACTCAGGAAACTTCTCAGGTGTGCAGCTACAATTAAAATAAGGGCAGAGTTCAAACACTGAGGCAGTGTGACCCATACTGGCTACTCATGCAATGATATAGTAGTTACTGCTGCATTGGTACATTAACAGGCGTTGTGTCTGGTGTGATCCCATCACAAGATCGTCTCTGTGAGCACTCAGCACTCGTGGGTCAAACCACAACCATCTTCAAACCTGACTTTGATTTTGATCTCAGCTACACACCTGCACATTTTCATGACTGTATCTTGCACAGCTGCAGCGCTATCGTGTTGACAAAATCTGTCCACAAAAACACAGACATTTTAAAACTGTATGGGAGGGTCTGTAAAATGAGTAATGAACAGTTATTTTAAGTATTAGGCCAATAATGCACAATTACATTTATTTCTCTGTCTTTTTCTTTTTATAATGGAAATATACTGTGATTTTTAATACACTATTTTTTTTCTGCTTTCTTTCATTACGTACACATTTACATTCAATTACAACAATTATCTCTAATTAAATATGCAGAACTATCAATTTAAAGCTTTTCCTCTGGATTCCAGGTAAATCTTTGTTAGTTTTCTTTTTTTTGTGTACTACTGGAATTCAACTTTATACTTTTGGATACAAATTAAGCAAACTTCTTTCATCACATCCAACTTAATGCATGAATGTTCTTAAAGTAAAGGACTGCTCTCGAAGCTGAATCTTCCTGCCATGTTGCCCTCCTGTGTAGCCCCACTCATGCTGCAGTGGCAGAGCTGTTGGGTGCTACATGGTTTTATCCATTCATGAGACGGAGGATGAAAGACCTACCTGGGGAGTCTGTGTTGTCACCACGCTCTTGCTGCTGGAGCTCACCATGCTCTCATGGCTGCTTGTATTTTCACACTTTGTTCCCTCGATATTTATTGAAGGTATTTATAAAACTCTTATTCTTGTAAACTCCGGTGTTGGTCTTCACTTTATGCTGCAGCCCAGGAGCTGGTGGTAACACTGAGAAAGACCATTTTTATTTCCTTCTAAGTGGCTCTGCAGAATTATTCCTGAATAATTTTTCATCTGAATAAATTAAATGAAGTGTTTTGGAATCAATTCCAAAATAAGAAAATGTATTAACAATCTTGAGTTTGTGTTAACACTTTGTTGAAGGTGTTTGACTGTAGTAATTTACATCAAATCTGTGAAATAAAACTGCAGAACTTTTGGTGTCTGTCAGTATATTAACGGCATTGAATGATAATCATCGAGGAAAAGTCTAAGATAAGAGCGTTTCTACACAAAGCATATCATGACAATGTCTGCTAATTCATTGTTTTTGGCCTTTTTTAGGATATTTTCTCTTTTTTTTACAGTTTTTCTACAGTGTATAAACACCCACCAAGCCCCCTTTGTGGTAATCTCCTCTAAACTAGGTGTCTCCAGGACCGAGTTTTGCCATGATGACACACACACACACACACACACACACACATGCAAAGAGACTCACAACGTGATAACAACACCAGCTGTGCTATCATGGCTTCACACAGTTTTTCTCAGCGTGTTCTGTCTTCTATGCCCTGCAATTGTCTTTAAGGGGGAATTTGGGAAATGTTCTGTCTTGCTGCGAGTCAGATACGAGGAGACGGTTAGTTTAACTTAATATATAAACTGTAAGCAGGAAGACACAGCTGGCCTGGCTGCACCCGAAGTAGAAAACATCGCGACCAGCTCACTAATTACCACTCCATGTTTAATTCACTCTGCTGTTGGAAGGTAAATGTTGTTTTATTACCTTCAGATGAAACCAGGGCAGCTGTTTTCTCTGCTTCTAGTCTTTATTTTATGCCGGTGATTTTAAGTTATTGCTTCCAATTCTGTATTTACTGAAACTTGATATTTGGTAACATAATATTAGCTTTTTTGTTTGAGTTTTTCATATTTATAAAACATTTAGTCCATCAAACAATTTGTCAATTGATGGGGAATTAGGCAGAAAGTGTTTTTTTTTTTAGCATAAATTCCCAATTTTCACCATTTCCAGCTTTCCTAACATAAAAATTTGCTGCCTCTCTTTGTGCTGTATGACAGCTCCACATAGTACACCATATTTATTTGTGTTTTGATTATCACTTTGTATTCTTTGTATTTTTTTCACTATTTGCTGACATATTCTTGCAGTTTAACCGTAACAACTGGACTTGCTTGAGTTTCTTGACGACGAGTCAGAACTGATGACTCTTGGATGAGAGGTGAAACGTCTTTAAGAAACTCAAGCAAGTCCAGTTGCTATGATTAAACTGCGAGAATAACCATGACCTGGATGACTGAGAACAACAACAAAAATGTCAGCAATCAATACTGTCGTAATAACAGATTACTTATCCTTACCGATCCTTTAACTGCTTCTTCAACGCTGTGTTTTCCCTCTGCAGCTCCAGCATGGCACAGCGACTCTCATCCAGCTGTCGCTCAAACACCTGATACTGGTTCTGCTGCTTCAGGTCCTGCATGCACACAGAAACAGATGCAGCGTTACACACCAGATACATGTTACGCATGTCTGCATCAAGGTGGAGTTTCAGAATCCGGTTTTCGAAAGTTGTTAGTTCTGCTACATGCAGTTAATGTGCTGCTCTGGCTTAATCCCACAGACACGGAGGATTTTATTCACGCAGCGGATAATAATATCGGTTATAAAATTGCTGTTATTTGCTCGAGTGTGCACACAGAGACAGATTACCACGGGGAGTTACAGGCCACAACACGCAGATAAAGTGTGTGTTTGTCACCTGTTGCAGAGCCATCATCTGTGTGTGTGCCTGCAGTTGGGCCTGCAGGTCTTCTATCTGCTGCATGTGTCTCTGGGTCATCTGTCGGCTCCACTCCGTGTGCTGCTGGGTCAACTCTGCACGCTGCTTATCTGATAGCGCACACAAAAAAAAACACATACAGAAAAACAAAATCAATTTGGCCCACTGTTACAGGCACCCTTCTTGCTGTTGCCATGGTGAAGTGTATCCATGGCAATAGCAACTTCACTGTTGAATTTATAATCTCAACGTGTAGATCACTGTGCATGTGTATTTGTGTGTGTGTGTGCACTTGTTTTTTTTTTTGTGTGTGTGTGTGTGTGTACGTGCAGCTGTGTTACACCGGCTGTGTTAACGCCTGCGTGTGCTTATGCTAATGCCCGTGTGTGTTTACGTGTGCATGTGTGGGTTACCGAGCTCCAGGTGGTGCATTGTCTGAAGTCTGTTCCTCTCAGACAGCAGATCTTCTTTTGCCTGTTTCTCTAATGCTTGCAGCGCCATGGCGTGACTGTGTCTCTCCTCAGTTGAAGACTGGGTTTGGGGCTCCTCCAACACATTAACACACATTTTTTCTTCTTTTGCAACATTTTTATTCTTTAAGCCCACAAAATCCTGTCTTTACAGCACAGATACATAGTGCTTAAATGTGTAAACGCACACTCATGGAGTACGATTGTGCTGCCTCTTCACTGCAACACTTTCAAAGCTGCTAAATTATTCATCACAGAGAAAATCTATAAAAGAGTGCACATATGATTTTTAAAAATGTGTGCGCATCGTTTGTGTGTGTGTACCTGCAGCAAGTCCCTCAGTTTCTTGTTTATCTCCTTAGTGTCTTGGACCTCCTTTCTCAGCCTCTCAATTTCGGGGTTGCCGTGGCAATCATCTCCCTGTCCCGCCTTCTTCTTCTCCGCCTGCGTTGGGGAGAAATCGTGAGCGGAAGGATTTTCAGGGCTCTGTGGGCTGTTGGCGTAATCCTGAGATGATGAATTTGCAGCGACAATTGAATGGAGACGTCGCTTTTGTTTTAGAATTTGCAGACTCAAACAGCTTTCTTAAAATAAATAAGAAAACACAGACTTCAATATGTGTTCAACAAGGGCTTATGGAACTAATTAAAAGAGTGCTCCAGCAATTTAGGATTGCACTTCTGCACTTCCATAAAGTCTTTTTTTTTTTTTTTACTTTTAGTACCAAAAATGGGTCCTGAAATACCATCTAAAACTGCTCAACACAATGTAATTGTCTTCTCCTATAAACACTCATGTATTTTGTGGGAAAACTGAATATCTTAAGCTGTTGGTCGGCCAAAACATGATATTTGTTGACGTCATCGTGACAACAGTTATACTTAGTATATCTCATAATTTTCTGATATTCAGAATAAACTAAATGACTAATACAACTACAGCAGTTTCATTAAACAAACTGTGATCCATCAAGCTGAGTAACTTGTCATGCTGGTTCTCTGTTCTATGCAACTAAATTAGCTTTTTCTTTTCGATGTGTTTATTGAATAACAGAACACAAAAACTGTAGATGGTAGCTGCGAATAAGACCTCTGACAGTTTTCTGACGTGTTCAACCCAGAGACAAACATAGAAACAGCACAAAACGTACCCACCACCCAGATTCACCCTCCTACACGTCCTATACAGAACACATTTTCCTGAGTGACAGATGAGAAGAAAGGAAAAACCGGGAAGAGAGAGGGAGGTGTTGAACAGCTTAGATTTCTGATCAAGTCAAGAGGGTTAACGTAAGAAAGAAAGAAGTCCCCTGATCTGTGAAATCTTTGGATGGATCTTCTATGTGCTTTCAAAGTGGAGACAAGATAATAAATCTTTTAACCAATGAGCTGTTCCAGGAGGGTTAGGACTTCTCCAATGTAGTATTAGTATTTGGTAAAGGTGCCTTGAACAGGGAGCACACTGCAGATAGCATGTAAAGGGCAATATAGAGAAAAAAAATAGGGATGCACAATATATCAGCAACCACATTGGTATCAGCCGATATTCATGTTTTTTCCGATATATTGGTATCGGTCCGATGAATAAATTTAGCCAATGTGAAAAACCGATGACTGTCCAACACTCCTTCGCCTCTACATTTGATATTGCTGCTATTTCACAGATGTTTTTACTTAAACAGTCCTGGACTTAAATGTCAAATATGTTTAAATATGTTTTACTTTTGTTACATAATAAAGAAGACTATGTGGTCTAATTTGGGATGGGCTTCTTTTGAATAGTTCTCACGTTCTCACAGTGCTAACTTATACTCATTTTTCGGTGTGAACAAAAATTGAATATCGACATTGGTAACGTCGGTTAACGGCGATATCAGAAATCTTAATATCGTATATCGGTATCAGCCAGAAATTTTAATATCGTGCATCATTAGAAAAAAAAGACATCCAAAAAGAGTCAAGCTTGGAGCAAGAGAAAAATATAGTAGAATGGATCTTGTAGACCACTTTCAGGTGGAGTTGAACTTGAAAAGTGCATCTCTCCACCAGTTTTCTTCCAGTTTAAGCTTCACCTCCAAACTTAGCCTTAATTGTTCATCCATCCCTCATTAGCTCCACTCCACCAATTTAAGACTTTTTTAGCCGTTCGAGCAGAATATAAAGAAAGTTAAAAAAAAAAAAAAGTGCAAATCAGTACATCTCGCAAGTGAAAATCAGGATTGCTCTGAGCATCATAAACAGGCTTTTGTAGTTTACTTTGTGAACTGGGCTCACCTGTGACTCGCTCAGCTGACCCTGCAGCTCAGATATCTGGCTCTGCATCTCCTGCTCTCGGTTCTGCCACCTCTGTTCACTCTCAGCGACGGCAGCGTTCATCTCTATCCTGAACTCTGCTCTGAGACGATCTTCACACTCTGCCCTGCAGGCACGCATCAGAACAAGGAGTGAGACGGAGGGTAACCTACATGCAAAATTACTATTTATGTCTTCTTGCTTCACTCTGCTGTTTAATCGCTGCATGGTGTCTTGTTTTCTTGTGCTTTTTACCTCATGTTAAAAAGGACTATTTATAAATCCAGCATGCGGGGTTGTAACCTGATTATTTCTCACTTTATTTAATAACTTGATTCCATAAAGCACATTTTTTCATTGCAATATTAAGAGATTTAAAAAATGCTTGTATTTGGTTGTATTTGTGGAGCAGAATCCTGTATACCTTCAGGTAACAGGGTTTTATTTGTGTGGGTATGAATGGAAAATATTATTTTAGTTTGAACTATCAAGATAAGGGGGGAACTAGTGTATTAGATTCATTAAAAACATTTAACTAAAGGTAACTGGCTGATTTGAGTGCATTTAAACACTAATCGTTGTCAGTATACAGTGAGAAATAAGATGCTAAACATGTAGAACTCTATGAGACGGGACATGTCTTCTGCGATGGACAATGTTTACTTGAAGCGTGTTTAATTTTTGTGAATGCACTGACACTGTTGAACTGTTCACATATCATTTGAACTGCTGTGACTTATTTCTTGCTGTGTTTTTGTTCTGGCAACACATATTTCATATCAATAAAGCTCACTGAAATTAAACTGGATCGAACCGAAGACGCTGTAGGTTCGCTTGGAGCCACAATTTGAATGATTAGCTCCCTCCCTTTGATCTTCCCCAGCGATCATTTACAGTAAGTGAAGGGCAGTGGGAGATTACAAGCGGAGTCAAGACTTTGTAATGTAAGCCTAAGCAAGTCTGGCAGGTCCGTGTTTATTCCGCTACCTGATCCGGTCCTCGGTGTGCCGCTGGCTCTGCTCGAGAAGACTCCGCTCCGTGTTCAGCCGGCTCTGTTCCAGGACTTTCTCCTCCAGCCGATGCTTGTCGGCTCTCAGGGACGCTATCTCTCTCTGCTGTCTGTCTCGCTGCCTCTCTGCCTCCTCCTGAATCCGAGCCAGTCGACTCCGGGCCTGATGGAGCTCCTCTTCCAGGCGAGAGCACTGTGGTCCACACGAGGGTGCAGCTTCAGGAGCCACCTTTTCTTTCTTGTCTCTCTGCTGGATCGCCGACTCCAGCCGGGAAACCTGAGAGCACATGTTGCAGGGGTTTCAGCCGATATTCTACATGTTTTCATCTGATAAAAATACTCACTCATTGACCTCTGACCTCACTGGTGGCATCTTTCAGCTTCGTCCCCAGCTCATCTCTTTCCCTCTCCAACCTGCTGCGGAGCTCCTCGGCAGCTCGCCTCTCCTCCTCCAAACGCACACACACCTTCAAAGAATATTCATTATCAAAGCCATTATTACATTAGCAATTTATCTTCTTTCTAGCACTTAACCCAACCATTCTGTCTCCTTCTTATTACTAAACCTAATTAATAATTAGTCATAATGAAGTGCACATTGTAAGAAGGCTCAAAGGGCAGCCAATTATGTGATAAAATCTCTTTATATTTCTACATTTACACTGGGAGCAAAAAATATCCATTAATCATGCTCTTTTAGCCCAATCGGCGGGGGGCCAAGCCTCCCTCAGGGGGTCACGAGAGAATTAAGTAGATCAGAGAACAAAACATTTGTGCTACACAAAGTGGTGATGTTTTTTTTTTCACACATTTGCTTAATCTTTTCTTTTCCTGACCCATTTCTCTATAATTTCATCTCTTGGGTTTAACACCTATGCAGCAGGTGACAATGTTAGACAGACATTGGTTTGTTTTGAGGGTTCATGAACCCAAAATGTTTAGAGTCACTGATTTAGAGTAAAGAGAAAACCCCTGCTGACTGTGTAAAAGAACGTCCAAGTCAATTCGTATGTTTTTGTGTCGATGTTGTTCAGTAGCCTGATGTCTTGAATGTCACATAAACGGTAATTATTATCAGGATTGGGACTGCCGTCTGAAAGTTTTCACAAGAACACACATTATGTGCATCACCCAGACTCAGAGCAGGGGAAGTTTTACTGCCGCAGCTGTGAGACGGGATGAAAGGAGATGTTATTACTGGCAGGAGTTTGTCCCCGTATCCAAAATAATGACATCCAAAGTCTGCCTGACACTGAAACTAAAATAATTAAGCCTGCATTATTCGGCTTCCACAGCTGAACGGCAGGCTATTTTTAAATTCAGATAAAAGTGCACATTATAGAGAAACTGCATCTTCTTTCACTACAGGGCCTAACTCTTATTTAATCATCCGCCCAGAAAAATATCTCTTTAGGTTTCAGCATACAGTCGCCAATGTCAGTACACTGTGCACAGTCTCGGTTCGGAAATATTGTAATTAAACATCCTGGATCACTAAACAAGTGCATAGAAATGCAGATTTTACACCAGACAGGTTATTGATGTAAATCCTTTCTGCTGTTATGAGGACGGCAGGAGATGTGGGCCTGGTAAATGTGCTTCCTGATATATCTAGTGGTGGTTTCTAGTTAAATGGAATAAACTCTTCCTCCAGACGGACACTGACCTCCTGGTTGGTCTTCTTCTCTGAGCTCAGAGCTTCCTGGACGCTGTTCAGTTCAGCCGCGTGCCTCCTCATCACCTCTTCTATCGCCTTCCGCACTTGATCCTTCAGCCGCTTCCTGTCCTCCTCGGCCTTCTCCACCAGCCTCTTCTTCTCCTCCTCCAGCTTCAGCTGCACGTTGGCTCTCTCCGCCTCGACCTGCTCGATGTTCTTGTCCAGCTGGGATCGAATCCGAACCCTCTCGACTTCCAGCTCTTTGCGCAGCCGATCCACCTCCTCCTCTTTCTCTCTCCTCAGACGTTCTCTCACCTCTTCCACTTCTTTGTGCAGCGCCTCCTTCTCCTCGTCTCTTTCTCTGCGCATTTTGTTTCTGTCCTTGTCGAACTGATCCTTTTCCTGCTCCCTCTCCGTCTGCAGGCTTTCTCTTTCTTTTTCTATCTCCTTCTGCAGCTTGTCCCTTTCGTCATCTGCGTGCTTTTGGATGCGACGCAGCTCCTCAGTCTGGGCTCTCACCATCTCTGAGCGCAGACTGGACAAGGCTTCTGCATGCTGTTAACACACACACACACACACATTCATTCAGTACATCATCCGTATCTCTATCTGTATTTTCGACATCTCTCCACGTGTTACCTGGCGTATCTGCCGGGCGTGGTCGCTGTTTCGGCCACTGCTCTGAAGCTCCAGCTCTCTGTTCCTGCTCTGTAGACGACTCACTTGGCTTCTCAGTTCCTCCATTTCAGCACAAACACACACCTCGCAGCCTCCACGATTCAGCAGCTCCTCTGTGACACACACAAAACGAACACAACCAAGTGAACACAAGCACACACAAACAACCACGCACCAGCACGTTGACTGATTATGTATGAAGAAGCAGAATGGACTTCCATCAGACCAATATTAAATGCGGAGGGGCCAAAAACAAAATTCATTCTCATGCAATAAATAAAATTCTGGAGCTTCTTTTTTGCTGACTTGGTATGATGACACCGTGATGAAACTGTTTGCCTTTGTGGAGGATGAATAATGTGGATTTGTTGCATTCTCTGTATATATTATAACGTCGGGGGCCAGTCTGGGTGAATAATGGAAAGAGCTCAGCTGAGTTTACTTTCTTTTCGCAGACAGGTGAGAAGACAGGCGGACTGCGAGACGCTACCTGCTCTGCTCTGCAGCTCGTCCTCCTGCAGCAGCAGCCTTTCCTTGGCGACCGCCAGCTCCTCCTCCGCCCGTTTGGCCACGCCCTCAGCCTCCGTCACGCGCCTCCGATCCAGCTCCAGCTCCTCCTCCAGGTCCTGGAGGTAAAGGCACAAAGGCCAGGTGGGAATTTTTTTGGTTCATAAGGAGGGTGATGCAGAGGAGCGTAGAGGGATGACAAAAAAAATCACAGGGGAATAGAAAGGAGAAGAGAAAAAAAAAGATGGATGAGGAAGAGAGAAAAGTCGACAGCAAATTTGACACAGATAAGGAGGACGGAGAGAAAGAACACAAGTCAGACAAAACAGGAGGTGCGATAGAGAAGAATGAGGGATGAAATGTGGTGAGTCAGGGAACTATCTCGGCCAGCTGTGAGCCTTTAATGGTCTGCTGTGAGGGCTTATGTCAGCTCTGTGCCAGCTCTCGTAGGGCTGCTTAATGTTCATGCGTGAGGGGGTAATGGTGGTGGTGCAGCGAATCTATCCTGCTCAAACTACTCATTAGCAGATAGTTGGCAGTGGGAATAGCACTCAGGGAGGGCAGCCTGTGGTTAGACAAGCAAGATTCCCCCCTTTTCTCTCTGCTTCTACCTCACTCCCTCCTTTCCCATCAACACAATCATTAGCTGGGTGCATCAGAGAGTTGCAACATTTCAATTTCCTTTCACCTCCTTTTTTTCCACGGTGCTATATTTAGGACGAGTGAAAACTTGATGTGCGTACCTGTATTCGCTCCTGCAGCTTCACCGTGCTCCTCTTGCTCTCAGCCAGCCTCTCCAGGTGACCTTCCACCTCCGCTTCGGCCCTCTTCACTCTTTCTCGCAGAGCGCTGTGCATCCCCTTCTTCTCTTCCTCCTCCCTCTCCTCCCACCTCTGCCGCTCCTCCCTCCACTCCGCCTCGATCTTCTTCCTCATCTCCTCCTTCTCCTCGTTCAGGTCGTTCACCTTCTGCTCCCACCGCTCCCGCTCCTCTTTCACCGCCCGCCTCTTCTCCTCCTCTGCTCGATCCCTCTCCTCCTTCAACGCCTTCAGCTCCTCCGAAAGGGCTTTAACTCTTTCCAAGTCCTCGCGCTGCTCTGATTGTCTCTCTTCCTTCTCTTTCTTTTTCTCCTCATCTTCTCTCTGTCTGTCCTCCTCTTTCCTCTTTATCTCCTCGTCGGCCGATTTCTGCAGCTCCTCGCATTTGGCGTCCAGCTCCTGGATCTGCTCTCCGGCCTTCTCCAGGTCTTTGCTCAGCCTATCACTCTCCTCCTGGGAAGCGCTGATCTGGGCCTTGGCCTCCTGGAGCTCCCCCACCGCAGCCTTTAGCTTCTCCTCAAACTCTTTCCGCAGCTCCGCTTCAGTTTCACGCTCCCTCTCCTCCACCTGGATGCGGAAGATCTCAAAGTCTGCCTGCACCTGGAGGCACACAGGATGAAAGGATAAACTGCACATTGCACTTAGACATAAACTGGTTGCCCACTGAGTATGCACGCTCAGTAGTGAGAAATGCACCCTTTTCCTTACAACGTGCCCAATTTATTTCAGGCAGGAATTCAAAGGCATCATGTTTCCCTTCCCCCCCCAGAAATGTGTATTTCTGCAGTGACACATTCGGATTACAAATATCCTGTACCAAGGTGTTTGTTGGGATCTAGAAAGCGTGCAGACCAATGGAGGGTGTTTATACAAAACATTTGATAAAAGTCATAACTGTGGTCATAAAGGCCAATTAGCTACGATGTTTTGACATTTAAACAATACTCAGAATGTGGCAAAACATCATTATCAGTCTGTACTGTCGAGATCAGGCAGGTTTAAGTCATACATTTCTGTCTTTATCACTGTTTTTTCCCCACAAAAGTAACCAGGATTTTGTAGTTATAGTGAAAATACAACTTATCTTGCAAAATAGGCTCATTATTTAAGTATTGTTTGAACTTTTAGTCTCCATAAATGTTGGACTACATACTAATAAATGCCACATTTTCACATGCTTAGCTGACCTGCTCAACACTGACTACAAGAGTCATGAGACTCATGAGATTAGGTAGCACAGTCCAGTTGTATGTTTATGGCAGCCCTTTACATCATGTTCCTTTATTGATAATCAACATACAAACACTACATAACAATGTAAAATAAATAATGTAGTCTCGAGTAGCTTTAAGGACATTTTAGGTGCACAGTATCTTCTATGCAGACTGATTTTATATTTTTATATAGATGTAATATTAGTATTGTATTATTTATTGTCTCAACATATATTAGCCTTTTGTTAACAACAGTGGTGGGATGTGACTAATTACATTTACTCAAGTACTGTACTACAATTATGTAATATTTGTACTATACTTTAGAATTTCCATTCTCAAAGGCAAACATTGTCCTTTTTCCTCCATAATATTTGTCTGACAGCTGGTTACTTTTCAGGTTACATTTTTATATCTTTCTTTATCTTTTGTATCTTCCAATTTGGTGGATTTGCAATAAACTAAAGGATCAAGTGTTTGTTTATGGGTTGAGACAATCTAGTTAAACTGAGCATTCAACAACATGCTTGTGTTGACTAGAAAACGCAGAAACGCTGACAGCAGGGCTGTTTTTCTGAGCTCATCAAAAACGTGGCTTTAGAGATGTGTGATTCTTACATGACGGCGACGCTACCAAAATTTGACAGTTTTTAATAATATGATGCACTGCTGTAGATTAAACTATCCAGCAATTTATGAAGTGGTTGAAATTAGCTCAACTTTAAACATCAACTGCAGTAAAATGCAACATAAACGTTAATGCAGCAGTATCTTTTATTCCAAAAGCATCATATGTAATTGAAAAATACTGACAGGGATCATTTTACTGCATAATAGTGACAGAATTCTTTAACTCTTGATCGTTTAATTAAACTTTGCTGATGATATTTACATACTTTTACATAAGTAAGGTTTTGAATGTATACATTTTTGTTGTAGGCAAGTATTTTCACAGCATAGTGTTGTGACATTTTTCATCTTACTGTATGTTTGTATACTCCTTATAAAGGCTAAACACGGGCCTTAAAGTAAAATGTTACCATGTTTTTCCGTCTGTATTCTTACAGTATTTGCATCAGTGAAACTTTTCTTATCTTATAACGTATGTTTCCCACTATTAATGTAGTCATTCTTTTTCCAAGTTGTGCTGCACTCTATATGACTGCTCACTTGATTCACTTTTTGAAGTGTGATTCATGTATTTACTGTTGTTGGTGTTCTTGTTACAGACCCACATGGATACACCTGCCATGAAACTGCAGCAAAAAAAAAAGACAATCTAAACTGAAAACCATACGGCGAGAGAGACACAAACCACACAGTAAGACATTCCAGGACAAAAGTTTAAGGTACATGTACATTTTTTATGTTTGTAGATGTTAAGATGCATTTTTGTTCCCAAAGAGCTCATAAGAAAGTCATGTGGGTATTTATGATTCATGCCGATGTTTTATTGTGGTGCAAGAGGTATAAATTATTAAGTCCGGCTATCTGAAATGGGGCGACTGTTGCAGGTCACATTTGGGGCAGGTTTGATTTGCTGCTCCTGCTGCGAGTTTACACATTAAATTACAGCGATGCAACACGCCCTTGAACACCGTGATCAGGAGGGTAAGAGTGCGTCCACACACACACACACACACACCTGGGCTCCAACTCTCTGCTGCTCATCCAGAGACTCCTGCAGCTCCAGGAGGCGGGTCCGTAATGCCGAGCCCTCCCCCTCGTGACAGGTCTCCATCAGGATGCGGTGGAGCTCGTCGTGGTGGGCGTGGCTCAAGGCCTGCAGAGCCGCCTCCTGCTCCTCGTTCCTCATGTTCAGAGAATAAATCACCTGCAGAGCAAACAGGCCAAGATTTAACAGCTGTGATTTAACAACAGTGTCCTTGCTTTTAGGAATACAACATCACGCTTTACCCTTGAAGCTAAACAGGAACAAATTACTACTGATGGGGCTTTAATAATTCCTTTTGTTCATCACTGTGTGTTGTGTTCCTAATCAGGCTACTCAACACACAGTTTGTAGTTGTAGGACTTTGTATTTATTAGCTGTCAAGTTGAGCTTTAAGGTTCTGCATTCCAAAGGTCAAGTGTCCATTTTGGAACTAACTGTAGAGTAATTTTAAGCTAAACAGCGAGTTATTGTTGACATATTTAGTGTTAAACTGTTCTTTAACTTTATCCACGAGTTTATCTCCATATTTTTTCGATGTGACTGACCGAATTTTATTTCTATATTATTATTTGGTGATCATTTTTTTATTCTTTTGTTTGTTTTAGAACAAAAAAATCTAAATGAAGTCTGAGCAGACCTGATTACAGTTTCCATCCTCACTCATGGATTCATTCATGTTTTTTTTTTCCCCTCGCTTTGCATTTGTTTTACAGAGGTACATCAGAACAGCAGCCAATACCAATACTAGTGCACACACATTATGGAGTCAATATTTTGAGTTGGCAGCTTTACGATAACAAACATTAAACCGACTGTGATGTGCAAACACAATAATACACAGAGGTTAAACAGCAACACTGACAGTCTGCGTGCATCCGCTGTAACCAAAGACCTGTGAGCCATTATGGTGCAGCTTTATGGAGTGATACATGCCGACATGGGTGCTGTGGCCCTCCAACATCCCCATATAGAGTGTGACTAACATGTGAAATATGGCCTATTTCACCCCACTATTCACTGCAGCCTCTACTCCACGTCGCCTGTGTCATCATCTGCTCCTGGTGACCCTGACGTCTCACTTACTCGCTCGCAGGAGTGCGTGTGTGTGTGTGTGTGTGTGTGTGCAAGCATGGGTGTATGCAGGAGACACATGGGCTCATATTTTACCCAGACGCCTCTCTGTCTGCAGCACACAGCTGGTACAGCACTGCCAGACATTCCCTCCGTCCTGCGGATTCACTTCCACGGACCCAACACTGTCACCCTCCAATAATCTATGATGTATTTCTTATAATCCAGCTCCTGATATCGATGTCGGATTTGACCTCTCCCCAAACCCTGTCACTCAAACACTGGAACGGTATGTCAGGCCGGCTATTCAATCACGTCATGGTGCACGAACTTTGGCTCACGAACTATGACTCATGACTAAGAGGAATGAAGGGGACTCTGAGGGGAGAGAAGAGGGGGTGTGCTGTTCTTGGGTGTCCTCTTTGGCTGGTTTAAAAGTAAGAGCAAGGAGGGAAATTTAGCATGAGAGAAGAAAAGACAAGGTGATTTAACACAGCTTCCTCTGAAACCTATTAGTTATCTATATGAGTGGGTTCCATACTGGGGTCGGGCAAACTACACAACATGACACCTGAACATTACACCCACAGCTGTGACTATGGAACATCTTGGTCCAAAACTGTGTTCATTAACATGCTGGACTCTTCTGGGAAGGCTTTCCACAAGATTCTGGAAACTGGCTGCAGGGAATTGTCCTCCTTCAGCTGCAGAAGCATTAGTGAGGTCAGCTACTGATGTTGGCTGATGCGGCCTGGCTGCAGTCCGCATTGCAATTCTTCCCCAAACATACCGGATGGTGCTGACGTCAGTTGTTCCACATCAAACTCGGAAGATCAGTTCTCGAATAAGATACTGTCATTTCGGAAGAAGTAAGATCCTTCTCAAGCCATGAAGTTGAAAATTCTTGTCTAAACTACAACTGTAGCTTAAAGATTCCTCTTAATTTATACTGAGGGACTTTGGCCAAACGATGAAAAATAGCCCCAAAAACACACAAAGACTACCAGACATGTAAAGAGTAAATCTGAGGAGCAGAAGGATGACCTGCATGGAGGGCTGCATAGAACAGTTGTTTTCCCAATTAATCATATACTTGTTTGGTCTATAAAATGTCACAAAACTGAAAAATATCGACGTGTGTTTCCCAAAAACAAAGACAACACCTTCAAATGTCTTGTTTAGTCCACAACCCAAAAAACATTTGGTTTACTGTCATGAAGAAGCAGAGGAACCAGAAAACACTGACATTTAAGGAGTTGCAATTGTAGAATTTAGACTTTTTTTCAACTCAAACTAAGATTAACTGATTATCAATAGAGTTTGCAGTTTACTGATTAATCACTACAGCTCTATCTACAAGATGGAATTCCAAAAAATCTGCCACAAAAATGTACATTTAGTTCTTTCCTCAATGTCTCTCGATCTTACTTTTCTCTTTTGTAGTATTGGATAGTTTCTCCTCTTTGTTCTTCTAAAAATTATTCAAGATACAACCATAAATCCGAGCTTATTTGCATAAAGCCCAAGTAGAGCAGCTATCACTGCTTTATCTTAATGAGTCACAAGTCAGAAGGGTAAGAGACCACTGATCTAAATCTCTATAAAGGGTTTTATCTCCATCATAAAAAAAAGACATATCTCTACTCTTTCTCTGTTGGATTTAAAGGAAACGGTAACATTTCAAAGAATAACTAACACACAATTAAACCCACTCCTGTTTAACACTGTGCATACTCAGGGGTTTTGCTGCAACACTAGAATTTATAGTTTGTTTAATGATCCATTTAAAGCTCTGACATTATATTTCCTTGTAACTGACAAAGAATGAGTCACTTCGCTGACTCTTCTGTATATATACTGCTGTTGCGTTTTAGCATTTAACAATATCTCAGAAATGTTTAGCAAAAAGCAACATGAGTTCACTTTAAGGTTGAAGCGAAAGTTGAGGAGAACATTAATGATGATATTTATCAGCCAGCTCTCTAATTTGGCACCACTTAGAGTAGTGGGAGAAGCACTAGACGTCACTGTAAAAGCCTGAACAGTGTTTATTACATTTGTGACGCCTTTATTTTACAGCGCCAGGGTAATAACTTAGGATTAGAGGCAGTTTCACACTTTGATGCAGCTTTTTGGGCGTAAATCTGAAGACGCTTGGCATGGCAGCTTGGCCAGAGAAGTGGCGAGGGCCTCTTGATACTGTAAATCCTGACTCGAGATCCCCCCGTATTGATCCTGCCAGTCGATAATGTTATTCATGTAGCCTCGCGAGCCAGTGTCTGTGCTTATTGACGATAACTTCATAGTCAGCAAAGCATGAAATTAATATTCTGTCTTCGGTGTAAAGGAGAGCTGGGACAGGGCAGTTGAAATGTGAGTGAGATGTAGACTGACTGGTTGAGGAGAGGTTGAGCAAAGAGGGCAAAAAAGCGTGAATACACTTTCTGTTGACATCGGCCTCCCCCACCTACATACTCATGCACACACCTCCATGCACGTATCAAAGAGGCTGCTGGGCGTGCAGCAGCTGGGAACACTATGACAGTGGAAGTGCAGGAAAACCCACAGACAGAACTGGAGTCGAGGTGTGGGTGCATATGTGCATGCTGGCTTTAATATGCTGCTGTTGATCTCCGTGAGTCACGTCAAGAGACCACTCTTCCCTCTGTGTTCACGTGGGCGTGTACATGTTTGTTCACGCAACAAGCTTATGTGAACATCCACAACAGCTGGCCCGATATGGTCAGCTCTCACTTTCTTCCCATTGGCTTGTTCCGCCGTGTAAACACACTCTGATGTGCTGCTGGTTTATCTTTAGCAGCGCCCATTCAGCCAGGGCAGACCACTCTCTGTGCAGGGAGGGAGGAGGGGAGGTGATGGAGGTAGAGGGAGGAAGGGAGGGAGTTGTGTAAGTCAAGCAGAAGTGAGGATGGGACAGCCAGACGTGAGGAGGTGTGTTAAGTGTGTGTGTGTGTGTGTGTGTGTGTGTGTGTGTGTGTGAATAGGGGTTATTAAATATATAAGGTTACTACAGCTGACCCATTTCCCACTTCCTCTGCACTCCTCACCGCCCCCCAAAACACTCAAATAAACCATGTGTCACATGCCCAGCGTCCCAAAGCTACAGAGGAAATGCTTGCACCAAATATCAGCCTTGATGATTCTTATATTTCAACAGAGCTGCTCTGGGTTTCGGATTTATATCCTGTGGTCACAGAAAAGCTAAAGCGGGCCGGCATGGCGTGCATAAAGTTTCAAGAGTCCAGGAGCTTCACAGGAGGAATATGAGGATGGAAGGAGCGGAGGAGGCCACAAGAGGCAGAAGGACATTTCCTTAACGAGCACAGACACGAGTGCTGACCGCTCATCTGTGTCATCTTTGTTTGTGTGTGCATGAGAGGAAGTCTTTTCTTTCAAAATGGCACACACAAACACAAATGCAGCATGTTCAATGTTCTGCACACATGTACTGCTGGACTTGCAGGCTGCACAGAGGTGCGCCCATGAGGGAGGATGGGAAGTGCACAGTCATCAGTAATTGTCATAGCTCAACAAGCGACGGGTCATGCCCTGCCTCTGTAAGCATTATTGTGGAGCACAGAGAGGGAGAATCCCCACATAGCAGTGCCGACTGTATGAGAAGCCCAGCAGATAACAGCCACTGCTGCTGCACCTGACAGACCTGCACATGGAGGAGGATGTGTTGGCACTAATCAGGGGGGAAAAAAATCTAAATTATGGCAAAAACTGTGACTTATTTCTCATTGGTGTGTTTATTATGATAAGAATTATCAGTAATTCGCTGGTTTCGGTTGTTATCTGTTACACATCACTTCTAATTGGTACCTTTGGATGCATTTTTTTTTCTTCACTGGTCAGACAAAGAAGAAACGTTTTGGTCTCTGGCCCAGTGTGATGAGCAATTATTTTCTACATCCAACCATTTGAATGAGTGTAAATCGATGCACTGTGAAGATAATCCATAAATGCACTGATTATTTCATGCGTCTTAATTGCTACTCAGATTGCTGAAGGTCTGCAGCTACACCTAAAGCTCTCAGCGATCTAATGTCAGATTACTGTCAGTCACGAAGAACCTCGTCCAAGTTTTTTTTTTTTTTTTTCAATTCTAATAATTATCCCAGGAGATAATGTGATTTGTGACACGCTCATCCACTTAGAGCACCACCTTTTATCGTCACTGCTCCTCTTAATACGGTGATTAATCTCCTATAGAGTCATTTCATATTTGTATAAGCATTTACATTTTTTGCTGGAGCATCTGTTCCCGTAAAAGCACACGGCGATGGCAGATAGTGAGGCAGCCATCGGATCCTGCGCTCAGCCCGACACCCGGCGGCGCGCCTCTCTCCCCCGGTGCCACCGGCAGCTCTTACCTTGGTGAGCTGAGCGATCTTCTTGCACATCTTGCTGTGCATCTGGTAGTCGTACAGCTCCTGCTCGATGTTGGGGAAGTCTGCCGCAGTCCCGTTAACGGCGGAGCCCGGCCCGGGGGGCTGTGCAGCCTTACCGGCGCCTGAAGCCATAACGAAACACCCCCCCAAGGGAACTTCCCAGACCGGAGGATAGTCACAAATGATCCTGCCGCCGCTCAGATGAAAATTCCCACCGAAATCGTGACAACTTTTTACTCGCGCATCTCATTCGTCTGTCGGCGCACCTTCTCCCGTGGACGGCATCTCGAGGAATTCGCTGCAAAACAGTGGCTGGTAGATCGGCGGGGCTCTCCTCGTGGGCTCGTCCGGCTGCTGCCCCCCTCCCCGGCGGTCCGCCCGGTGCTCGCGGAGGTCACACGCTGGAAGTCCATCGGGGACGCGCTCGCGCCGACCGACCCTCTCGTGCTGTCAACAGATTTTTTTTTTTTTCTTTCCTTCCTGTTTATTCTGACGGGGAGCGCTGGAGGATGGAGGCGAACAGTCCGACCACCTGTCTCTCGGCAGGGGCGGAGAGGGGCGTGTGTATCCTCTGGAACATTACCGGAGACAGCTCGGCGGAGAGGCGCACTGCTGCAGTGCCGCCCCGCCCCTACCGGCGCTGCTGTATCAGTGCCGATCACTGCGCGGAGGGGAGGAGGGGGTCTCTGGGGTCTGCCCGTGTGATTTTACTCCATCAGTCAGACGTCGTAAACAGAGAACACCGAGAGCACTTTCAGAGGCTCCAGGCGACATAGCAACACATGAGAGCACATGGTCGGCCCGTTTGTTTTACTGTAATTATAGCAACTGGAGAAGTAGAGATTGTGGACTGTTACTTCTGCCACCATTGGCCCAGTAGGATATGGAACTTCTTGTCACGAAAAACAATCATGCATTTTGGTTCTTGCATACATTTATTGCCGGTCTTCTGGAAAAAATTACAAAAATCTGCAGGGTCATAAATATACATACCAGTGATGTGCGGTCAGGGGAGGCAGGTGAGGCAGAGCCTAACCTGACATTACTGACAGAAAAAAATATATGATGATAAAATCATTTAAATGGTTATATTTATCCAGTGATTTGTACTATAAAGTATTTATTTTTTCATTTAGCCTCGTCAGTTCTGACGATTTTTAAATTCAAAATCGCTAAATTTTCGCAATTTCCCATTTAAATGCTTGGAAGAGAAGCAGCCGCGAGCTGAGCCTCACTTGTATTGCGCAATCCCTCACTGCGCAGGCTGCCATGCGTAGGCTGTCAGTGCATGGCAGACAGCGCATGCGTAGGCTGTCACTGCATGGAAGCCAGCGAAGTGAGGGATTGCGCAATCCAAGTGAGGCAGCAGCGAGCTCAGCCTCACCTTGGATTGCGCAATCCCTCGCTACCTACGCTGGCTGCCTGCAGTGACAGCGTGCTGCTGTCTGGATGTCGCTAATAACATGGTTCAAACACATTTAATATATGAACTGATTTTCCATAGTTCAGCTCATGTATATAATAATGTACAGTGTTTTTTGTTACCAACTGTATATGTGTAAGGTGTTCCCTGTGCCGAGCGATCATAAACGGCTGTGAAGAGGTTCACCTAATTTGGGCCTGATTTAGGCATTTCTTTACAATCTCTGATGTGTTTTGGGTCATTGTCTTGTTGTAAGACCCAACTGTGTCCAAGATTGTCATGTCTGTCAAGTTTCTGTTCATGTGTGCACGTCTTGTCTTTCCTGTTTTATTTTGAAGTCACTAAACAGTTGTCTCTGTCCCTTGTGGCCTTCCCTCACCTGTTTCCTATCTCCCCTCATTACCTCATGTATATTACCTTGTGTGTCTCACAGTCTCGTTCCACTTCACAGTCTACGTACCAGCGTTTCTTCATAGCCATAGTCACAGTCTGCTTTGTGTACGACCTCGTTTCCGTTTTTGACCTTGCCTTTCACCTCTTGTTTTCTTGGATCTCTCTGCCCGTTTGACTGACCTCCTGTGTACCAAACCCTGACTGGTAATAAACCTGCCTTTTTGCCTGAACCTGTCTGTGTCGAGCATTTGTGTCCGCTTGTTCTGAGCGTGAGTTCTTGACACAGAGAAGTCAGCAGCTGTAGTCAATTGTAATCACTCACAAGACGTTAAGAAGGTAAAGAGAAGGTAAGATGGCACAGCTTTCTACATAACCAAAACTGATATTTCAAGTTTCCAATAGTATGAAAAGAATGCATGACATGGAAGCCAAATAACCCAAAATCACAAAACTGACCTGTGCATGAAAGAACATGTTTTTGCCTGATGTGTCCCGCCTTTAGAAGAATACCACAAACTGATGCAAGTGAGGATAAGAAATTCTGATTCTGCTCCGGAAATTCTGGATACATTTCCTATATTGCAGCTCAATAACATTCCTCTATAGCTCATTGTGAATGCTAATGTAATTTAAGTCCAAGTCTATAGTTGGTAATATAGGCTGTTAAAATTTGTTGTCTATAGGTTCAGGCTGAGATAACCCTGATGACGTCATTAGGGATAAAAGCTGGTTTATGGTCTGTCACAAAGAGTTTGTCAGACCACTATGGAAATCTGAAGTGTTTATGCCTGAGCCGCATGCCCACGCTCAAAGGCAGTGTGAAAAGCTGATCGTCAGGAAGTGAAGGGAGACACATGATATTGTTCAAATATAGAGATAGTGGCCCACTTTTCCAGACAGTCTCTTTCTGAAAGGAAGGCCCTTCATAGTGTTGTACATGGCTCCTTATTCGATTCCTCAGAGCTAGTAAATCATGGTGTCGAGTGGATGTGGATGTTGTCGGTTCAGAAGTTTGCAGACATAGCCACACATGACACCTAATCAGACATTGTGTCAGGTGTAAAAATCTGACTTAACCTGGGTGACCGTGTCCCCGATGGGGCCGTTTGTGTTCCCTTTTCACCTCGAAGTTCCCATCAAGCTCAGTGGGCACAGTAGACATGGCACAGCAACAAGGTTCTGGGTTTGAAGCTGCTGGTCTCCCCGTTTTCTCCACATTCCAAAGACTCAGATTCAGATTTGTTTTATTGTCACTGTAACGAGTACAACAAAAAGTAAGGTGCAGTCCTTTCAGTGCAAAAAACAAAAATATAAAACTTTGTAAAACAATAAAAACTTTGTAAAACACTATATACGATAGAAAATGAATATATATATAAACAAACAAAAAAAGAACTCTATATAAAAAGATTAAATTAAATAATGAGCACGGTGTATATTGCACAAGGTAGATATTGGACAGAGGTAGTGGCAGTTGTATATTTACAATATATTGCACTTTTTTTGCGACAGGGAGGCATTTATGGTTCTAACAGCAGTTGGAAAAAAGCTGACATACATAATGGGTTGATTAATGTTTTTAAATATTGAGTAAGTGCAGGCATGCATGGTTGTCTGTCTCTTTGTGTTAGTCCTGTGATGGATGGGAAAAACTCCAGCCTCCCATGAATGCTCTGCAGGATAAAGCAGGTATAGCTAATGGATGGATGGTCCAGATTTCTTGTGTTAATTAGTTTAAGGTAAAAACACAACCCAAGTTAGGATTATCTACGACTTTTGCACAGTCTGGGGACTGTATCTGGTGATATCTGAAAAGTTCTCCTTTGAAACTCTTCGTATTCTTCACACAACTCTGTCAAACTAAGTGCAACACCATGAATGTCTTGCAGCAGGGTTTTTAAAAGCGTGGGATTGGAAGGCAATTTTGGAGGCAGAAGGATCCAGCAAGATAGAGGCATATAGGCTGTTTCCTCCTCCTTTGATGGCGACTATTTTTTTAATCTTTGGATGTGGTCTAATGTCAGCCCAGTTTGTTCAAAGCACACTGACGCTTTGAGACATGGGCCACAGATATTCAGGACTGGTGCATGTTGTTTGGTAGTGTACATGGATAAACATATTTGTAGTCAGATGATCTCAAACAAACTGGCCCTGGGGAAACCTGGGAGCACATGATCCCTGGGCAAATGTCTGTTTAAACTGGTTGATAAACCAGCCTCAGACACAGAGAGATATCTGTTGTCGCACATAAGACATTAAAGGTGTAAATAATCTGACTTCTTTACCTTGTATGGCAGTGTGATCATTGAATCCAGGCAGTGAATTTCTCTGGATAATTTGAATAATTTGAGATGCATTTAGAGAAGAACTATAGGCTGTTTTTCCATGTTTTTGGCACACAACATAGTAGCGGTATAGTCTAATGGAGAGATTTTTCATCCCACTACAGCATAAATATTTAATATGATAATACACCTTCACGATAATCTCTCGCCCACACGCATGGAGGTCTAAAGCAAACAGCCTGACGGAGTACCATCTATTAAATTGATTTCCAGGAATAGATGCCATAAAATGGGGAACGCTGTCCGCATGTGGAGAAGCTTGTTCCAGCCTTTCCCACGGGTGAGCTGTCCCCTCCACAGCTGTCCGGCCAGCTGCGACCCTGAACATTGCTACACCAACACAGTGGCTGCGCATGAGTAGCCTACAAATGGCTTATGTGACACAGTGTACAACAGACTGTGAGTACAGCCCCGTTTGCACAGGCTGACTTAAATGTCAAATAATTCAAAATTGTTTCGCCTCTTAATAATTGCACTATTTCCAGGTTGAGCAGTGGACAATTTCTACTTATGAACAAGCAAAAACAAATACCTTAAAAAGACTATATTAAAAATATATGCCCCAAAATAGAAACTCAATGCAACAAAAGTAAATACGCTTGTGATCACGGACACGCAAGTCAGAAGACCAGTGATCAATGAAATTAAACTAGTACCCCTGTAATTGCTAATTAACCTGTAATTGCATGTATATGGTTCTAATAATACCTGTGAAGACCAGAAATTTCTCAGTTTTGGACCTACAGGCTGTGTCTGTCTGCATGCTTGCATCATGGCTGCACATGGAGGATTGCCAGAGGAATGTATAAAATCTGACTGTGAGTCTTCACAAAGATGAAAAACAGGAAGATTAGTGATCAATTACATATCAGTCGAAACACAGTTGTAGCAGTAATCATGGGTTACAGAGTAAGTCATGGTACTGCTAATTGGCCATTCTTCCAAAAATGACACCATGAATAGTGCTCTACTTGCACAACTTAACTCTGAAAAATAAATGAGCAAGTGCCTTAGATTTAGGACAAACATTATTAAGGGGAATCAGAGTTTCTGTAGCAGCTCAGATAAAGACATAGCATTACAGCAAGCTCTATGAATGATGTCCATGAAATACACTTGCTTGTTCTTCAACACAAAACTGTAAAATTAAACTTTCCTTAAGAATATGAGTAGAATCCTTAAGGATATTGGGAGCAC